GCAATGATAGGTCCTATAATATTATGTATGGAATGGAAAAGTTTAGTGGAAGAAAAAGAATGTAAGAATGGCTAGAAAGGGCAGGTAAAAAGATGTAAACTTCAATGTATAAAAAAATGAAAATGTTAATTCAAATATTATTATTAATATTTCCAATCTTACTTGGAATAGCTTTTTTAACTTTAGCAGAAAGAAAAGTAATGGGTTCAATGCAAAGAAGAGTAGGACCTAATAAAATAGGAATATTTGGTATATTACAACCATTTGCGGACGGTATAAAATTATTATTAAAAGAAACAATATTACCATCACAAAGTAATAAATTATTATTATTAATAGCTCCTATAATAATATTTAGTATCAATTTATTAACTTGGGCTCCAATACCTTTTATAAGAGGTTATCAAATAACAGATATGGATTTAGGTCTAGTGTACATACTGGCTATATCTTCTGTAGGTGTAGTAGGTATAATATTAGCTGGTTGGTCAGGTAATTCTAAATATTCTTTAATGGGATGTTTACGAACTTCTGCACAATTAATTTCTTATGAATTAATATTAGGTTTAACAATTTTAACAGTAATATTAATACCTAAAACTTTTAATATTAGTAATATTATATTATTTCAACAAAGTATATATTTTGCTATTCCTTTATTACCTTTATTTATTATTATATTTATAACAGCACTAGCTGAGACTAATAGACCTCCATTTGATTTAGTAGAATCTGAATCTGAATTAGTAAGTGGAGCGTTTACTGAATATAGTTCGTTTTCATTTGCTTTAATTTTTTTAGGTGAATATGGTGCTATGATTACTATGTCCAGTTTAATTACTATTTTATTTTTAGGAGGTTATTTAAAATTTAATTTATTGCCGTTGTTTGTTCTTAATTCCTTCCCTTTTTTTGTGGAAGGGCCCTTGTTTAATACTTACTTTTTATTAGTTCTTACTCCTTTCCCTTCTTTTTTTCTTTTTGGATTTAAAATATGTATAATTTTATTTTTATTTATATGGGTAAGATCTACATTACCACGAGTAAAATTTAATCAATTAATCTCATTATGTTGGAAATCTTTATTTCCTTTAGTTTTAGGTTTATTTATTTTTATAACTGGTATTGTAACTGTTATTGCATAATTTTGTTTGGTTACATTCCTCCCTGGGTTGATGACTGAGTGGTTTAAGGTATTTCGCTTGAAACGAAAAAAGATTTTATATCTTCATGGGTTCAAATCCCATTCAGCCCTTTTTTTACCCTCTCCCCTCCTTTTTCTTGTCGTTCTGAATCGGTTAAGCCATCTCCTGTGGTTTATCACGGATAATAGCGTAATAGGTAACGTATCTAGTTTGGGACTAGAAGATTATAAGTTCAAATCTTATTTATCCGAACAAATTTATGAAAAAATGGTAAAATAATCTCTAAAATATAAAGTTAGCT